ACAACAGTGGCAGCAGGCTAGGGTCAGCAGTAGCAGGCGTGGCTCGGCAGTGCTCTCACCAGGGCTGGTAGGTAGGGGGCGGCAAGCGGTTGGGCAGGGCTGAGGCGCGTCGGCAGGGACAGAGCCGCGACTGCGGCGGCAGCTCCTGCTGTCGGCGGCGACGGCTGGTGCTGGTGGTTGCCGCCGCTGGTGTCAGCGGCTTCTGCTGCTGTCGGCTGCTGCTTGTGGCGGCTGCTGCTGGCGGCGGAGGAGCCAAGGAGGGGCCGGGAAGGGAGGCGACGGGGCCACGAAGGGCGGCAATGGGGCCGAGAAGAGGCCGCAAGGGGCCGTGAAGGGCGGCGAGGGGGCCGCTAGAGGCGGCGACGGGGCTGCGAAGGGCGGCGAAGGGGCCTCTAGAGGTGGCGAAGGGGCCGCGAAGGGCGGCGACGGGGCGGCTAGGGGCGGCGACGGGGCCGCTAAGGGCAGCGACGGGGCCGCGAAGGGCGGCGACGGGGCCGATAGGGGCAGCGACGGGGCCGCGACAGTCCTCGAAGGGCGGGGTCGGGGCCGCTAGGGGCGGCGACGGGGCCGTGAGGGGCCTAGAAGGGCGGCGACGGGGCCGCCAAGGACGGCGACGGGGCCGTATAGGGTGGCGACGGGGCCGCTAGGGGTGGCGACGGGGCCGCTAGGGGTGGCGACGGGGCCACTTAGGGTGGCGCGAGGGGCCGTAAGAGGGGCCTCTAGGAGGGCGCGTCAGGCCGCTAAGGGCAGGGGACGCGACGAGAGGGCGGCCCACGGGGCGCGCCTCTGGCAGGGGTGACTCGCGCTTCGGTCAGGAAAAAAAAAAAAATCGATTTCAGTGGTGGGCCCTAAGAAGCGTTCCCACTAGGGAACCTGCTCTATACCATGTGAAGAAATGAGGAATGAATGAACTAGCAAGCAAGTGGGTACAAGTAGGAAAGCCTAAAATTGTTGTACCCCATATTGTCTACCCCACTACAGCCTACACAGACTATAGCATATAAGTTTGACAGGTGCTAGTATAGAACTTGTGGTATCATACTTTCTTTATTTTAAGTGGGTCTTTTAGAGGAGGGTGGGCCGATTGTCATCTCATCTGGCACATCGTCACATCACGACAGCGTGGGACAACGTTCAGGAGCAGCCAGTGATGGCGCCGCCCAATCAATGTCCGGCACGGAGAGGAACAGGGATCGCCAAGCCTGTCATCATGTCGAATTTGTGGCGGGGATCGGCAGCAACGACATCATCGCACCAATGCCGCTCAAACCACAGCGCCCGCTCCGCCCACCAAGGACGCAGTGCCATCTGGTGTGTGCCTGGGACCGCAAGAGGACGCGGACGCGCAGTACGACCACTAGTGCGAGCAGCACGAACAGGCGACGCAGGACGAGATGAAGGCTCACGACGCTCAGCAAGACCTCCAGTAGGACCAGTGTAGGGAGAAGGAGCAGGTAGGGGGGAGGCGGGCTGTAACTGTGACTGCGACTGGACAGGCGGTGGACACTCTAAGGGAGGAGAAGGACCAGTAGAAGGCGGAAGACCAAGTACCTGCTCAAGGAGCGGAACGAAGTACGGCCGCGGCCGCGCAGCGGCTCCAGAACCAGCAGGGATAGCACCAGTAACCCCAGCGGCAGCACCAGTGCCAAGAGCACCTCCAACAACAACAGCGCCAACTCCAGCACCCTCAGACGCACCAGTGCCAGCAGAAACACCAGCGCCAACACCCTCAGCAGCTCCAGCTCCAGCAACTCCAGCAGCACCAACTCCAGCAGGACCGGCAGCTCCAGTACCGCCAGCAGCTTCAGTAGGACCAACTCCAGCAGCCCCAGTAACAGCCCCAGTCCCAGCAGCTCCAGTACCGCCAGTACGAGCACCTCTGGGACCAGCAGCAACAGTAGTACCTCCACCTCCAGCAGCACGGCTCCAGCGCCGAGCAAACCATTCGCGCAGCTCCTTTGGAGAGAGTGGCTCCTGCCTCGACGAAGCACCGACGGCGGCCACACGAGCAGACCCAGCGCCCCCAGGCTCCGCACCCCCAGGCTCCGCACCTCCAGACTCAGCACCCCCAGGCTCAGCACCCCCACACTCAGCACCCCCAGGCTCAGCACCCCCAGACTCAGCACCTCCAGACCCGGCACCCGCAGGATCCGCAGCTATAACAGCACCAGAGTCAACAGCTACCTCGACAGGCTCGACTGCGTCTACCTGGGACACAACTGACGGGGCAGGACCCTGAGGGGGGAGGGGGTCTACCGGCCCACCTCAACCCACGACAGATTCACTGGCTCGATTTCCTCGAGTCAAATTTCCATTACACAGTCACCTACAAAAAAATGGCATCAAACATCGCCGATGCACTGACCCGCCCCACTGCCCAAATCTATGCCATGCTACTCGCCGAGACCAGCCCACTACTCACAAGAATATTTACCCACGACTACCAAATATACCCATTCTTCAGCGGAGGAAACTCGCAGTAGTTCGCAGTGTTGACTGCTATATGGGACCTAGATGCTCTCAACACACCTTTAAATCAAACTAGGAAGTCCCCACGGGGTCACCTCCAAGGGTCCTTGGGTGCGTGGTAGAACCAGCCCCTATCCAAGGGTTTGTGTTTTTGGAGGAATTCCCAAAGTATGAAAACGTTGTGTGCTCTTAGAACATTCCCAAACTCGTGCGGAAGCGTTAACGATTCATTGGTATGTCAAAATCAACAAGAGTGAATGCACTAGGAAAGGGGTGGGTACAAGTAGGAAAACCTAAAACTGTTGTACCCCATAGGAACTACCCCACTACAGCCTAAACAGACTATAGCATATAAGTTTGACACACCCCCATAGGCAAAGTGGGGGAGAGCAAAAGGGTCACAAGACTAATCAAGAAAGCAAAGAAAGCCCAGGGTGGATCACAACGTCACCACGCATTCTGAGCACAAACAAAAGACCACAAGGCCAGTTCACATGCAGAGTTACAACAGTAATCAAAACCTAGCAATTGAAAGCATGCAGGTATAGGTATATAGATCATAGTACAGGCAAAGTCAAGAAGTGAGCAAGTGAGGCAAGGTAGGCACAAGGCCTAGAACAGTACAAAAACGCTGATGATCACAAGGCTGAAGTGCCTTGGTGAAGATATCAGCAGTGTTGGCCTGAGAGGCACGTAAGCAAGACAAAGCTGACCGCGCTGCTGCAACTCTTGAGCAAGAAAGTAGCGAAGGGCAATGTGCTTCGTTCTGTGCTCCAGTCTGTGCTCTTGACACATGGCCAGCATGGCCTTGTTGTCGACGTACAGAACTCGAGGAGAACGAGGCACCTCTCCCAAGCCGTTCAGCAGGTAGGTGAGCCAGCGTAACTCCTGTGCAGCCATGGGCCCTGCGTAGATCTCAACCTCACAGCTGGAGGTGAGAACAGAAGACGAGTGGGTAGACCGCCACGAAACAAAGCCGGAGCCAGGGCTGAAGGTGTAACCTTGTGACGACCGCTGCGTTGCCAAGTCGTCAACCCAAGACGCGTCTGCGTGACCAGTGAGGATGAATCGAGCCCGTCCTCCAAGCACTAGCCCCATGCCCGACGTACTGCACACGTAGCGCAACACCCTCTTCGCTGCAGCCATGTGCTCTAGTCAGTGTCTCCCAGGAGCAACATAGCGCGCCAAGATGCTAAGAGGGTATGCCAAGTCAGGTCGAGTGCAGGTCATCAGGTACATGAGGCAGCCAACAAGCTCTGGGTACAGGCCACTCGGCTCTACGGACTCATCCGAAGGCAGAGCTGAGAGCGAGTGGCGAGTAGACAGAGGAGTGGCCTGAGGCGAGGAGTACATGAAGTTGAAGCGCTGAAGGACCTGCTGCACCATGTGTGACTGAGTCAAGGTAGTGGTCCGCCGTGCTCTGTCCCGGGTGATCTGCAAACCAAGATACCTGCGCAGTTCACCCAGGTCTACGCACGTGTATCTCTTCTACAGCTCTGACTTCACGTGGGCGTGTCCAGCAGTGTCAGCAGTGGTAAAGACCAAGTCGTCGACGTACACGAGGATGTAGAACGGCAGCAGCAAAGTGTCGGTGCGCAGAAACAGCGACCGATCAGCAGTAGAAGGAGCAAACCCAAGAGCTGCAAGCATAGTCCTTCGTGTGTCGGCCGCCGAAGGCTCCACTGGGTACCAAGAGGAAACGACCTAGTGAAGCCAGATGGGCGGCGTAGCCAGATCTCCTCGTACAGACTGCCCTGTAGGAAAGCACTGCTGAAGTCAAGAGATCGAAGCTCGTAGTCACGCTGAGCAGCGACGTGTAGCAGAACCCAAAGAGTGGTCATCTTTAGGGTCGGGGAGAAGGTCTGGAAGAACCCGGCGGCCGCTTCACCCTGAAAATCTACATGCCACTGACGATGTTCGCCCTAGGAGGGGGAACCTCATCGACGTTAGTGCCTGTGGACTTTCAGGATGCCATCTCTGCGTCCATGGCTGACTGCCACTGAGAGGAGTAGGGACCCTCTATCGCGTCTGCGTAAGAGCGCGGGGTCGGGATGTCTGGTGCATCCGGGTCTCCCTCAGGTGCAATCAACATGGACACGAGATGAGGTAAAACGGCTGCAAAGCACTCAAAGTCCTCCTGCCTGTCCTCAAGGACGTCCGTGCCAAGAACACACTCACCCCCGACGGACGGAGGACAGACAGACTCAGACTCAGCAACAAGACTCGCGGCGTAGTCTAGACGAGAGTGAGCTGCAAAGTCGACAAGCTCAGGAACTAAGGCAGACGCAGCAGTTGACTCAAAGCAAGGGTCAGTAACAACAGTGGCCAGGAGACGCGTGAAGGGAGTCTTACTCCGGGTCTGGACCGTCAGCAAGTGAGGACGCAGGAGGAGACGGCAAAGGGACACGCTACGGAGCAGTGGAAGGGCGGAAAGCCATCCGGTGCGTGCCAGGGACAGGAGGAGGACGCTGACGCGAACCACAACGGAAGTGCTAGCAGTACGAACAGGCGACGCAGGACGAGACGCAGGCTCACAACGCTCAGCAAGACCTCCGGTCGGACAAGTGTAAGGAGAAGGAGCAGGCAGTGGGGAGGCGGGCTGCAATTGTGAGTGCGACTGGACAGGCGGCGGACACTCTAAGGAAGGAGCAGGACCAGTAGAAGGCGGAAGACCAAGAACCTGCTGAAGAAGGCCGCTGAGCGCCTCCAGAACCAGCAGGGACAGCACCAGCACCCCGAGCAGGAGCTCCAACTCCGGGAGCACCGCCAGCTCCAGCAGCACCTCCAGCTGCTCCAGTAGCGCCATCTCCTGCACCCACAGGAGCACCAGCTCTAGCAGCACCTCTAGCTCCAGCACCTCTAGCAGCTCCAGCTCCAGTAGGACCACCAGAAGCCCCAGCAGCTCCACCTGCAGCAGCTCCAGCTCCAGTACCTCCAGTAGCACCTGCTCCAGGAGCACCGCCAGCTCCAGCACCTCCAATAGTTCAAGCTCCAGCAGCACCACCAGGCCCAGCAGCTCCAGTACCTCTTGTACGAGCACCTCCAGGACCAGTGGCTCCATCACCTCCAGCGCTAACCCCACGGTCGGCAGCCACACCAGCACTAGTAGCTCCTGCGCCCCAGCTCCAGCTCCAGTAGCACCCCCAGCTCCCATAGCACCACGTTGGCGGCGGCAGTGCCGAGAGTACCACTCACGCAGCTGCTGGGAAGAGAAAGTGCCCCCAGGCGCAGGTCGGTCAGATGCAGCACCCCCAGGCGCAGTACCTCCAGGCTCAGCACCCCCAGTCACAGCACCCCCAGGCTCAGCACCCCCAGTCTTAGCACCCTCAGGCTCAACACCCCGAGTCTCAGCACCTTGAGTCTTAGTACCCCCAGGCTCAGTACCCCCAGGCTCAGCACCCCCAGTCTCAGCACCTCCAGGCTCAGCACGCTCTGGCTCAGTACCTCGTGCAGGACCAGAGCCGACAGCTACCTCGACAGGCTCGACCGGGTCTACCTGGGAAACACCTGAGGGGGCAGGACCATGGGGAGGTAGGGGGTCTACCGAAGCAGCACCTGGCGTGAGGAAGAGCGGGGGAGTGGGGAGCGGGGCAGTGCGGCAGGGGAAGAGATGGTAAAAAGGAACCGACTCGTCAAAAGTGACGTCCTGAGAGGGGGAGACACGGTGCGAGGTGGGGTGGTAAAACTGCCAGCCAGACGCGTCAGGGACAAAGCCAAGGAAGACCCAAGGAACGCGCGGGAGGAGAGCTTGTTCGCAGACGTATCGCGGACAAAGACACGAGATCCCCAGACCCGGAACACCGATGCATCGCCAGCCTCTCCCGTCCAATGCAGTGTCGGTGAGGTCTTCGGAACGGAGACACGGGGCCAGAGGTTGAGCTGATGCGTGGCATACCGGACCGCAAACGGCCACAGAAAATGGGGGACAGCCGCATGGATCAAGGAGGTACGAGCGACCTCCACGACCAAGCCAATGTGGCGATTGTTAACAGGAAAGGAGTGTTGGCCCCGCCCTCGCTTGGGCAACGCCGACGACTTGGTCGGATGTACGGGAGTAGTAGTCGACCGTTCAGAGTGGGAGAGCTGCTCGATAGGCTTCGTCGAGCTGTAGGGGACCGCTGTGGTGTTACTGTCGACCAGGTTGCTGGACAGCTGCAACTGACTGGTCTGGGCGACAGGTGGGACGTTGAACAGGACCTTCAGCTCGACCGGGAGGTCTCCTGAGCATCGCGTCGACCTGCCGTTCGACCGGGAGGTCTCCAGAGCATCCCGTCGACCTGCTGTTCGACCGGGAGGTCTCCGGAGCATCTCATCGACCTGCTGTTTGACCGCGAGGACTCCGGAGCATCCTGTCGACCTACAGTTTGACCGGGAGGTCGACGGAGCAGTCCGTCGACCTAACAAGTGAGCATCGGTCGACGAGGGGAGCTCGGCAACAACTGCTGACAATTCTTGTCAACGAAAGGGGCCCGTCGACCAGAGGGTAGCTCGACGGGAGTTGTGGTCGACCAGAGGGACCTGGGGGTCGACCAGAAGCAGTGGTGGTCGACTGGAAGCACCTGGTGGTCGTCCGGGCCGACCGGGTAACCTGCTCGACGAGTTCTGCAGAGGCACGCAAATGTCGTCGAGGTCGCAATGGCGAAGGCGACTGCGGGCTGGTATCCCGAAGTTGATGTGGCTCGTCAGGCGCAGACAATAGCCGACGGATGCCCAACGAAGCAATTCGGGCCAATTGTCTGCGCGCATCTGCGAGCGTGCGCAGTGCTGTGTTCTACGGGGCAACGCTGGACAGCCGCTGCGCTGCAGCGTTGGCACACCATCGACCTGCTCTGTTGGCAGGTCGCCTTTCCGCAGTGCTGGCGCGGCTCCTCTACGCAACGCTGGTAGGCGGTCGACCGAGCTGTGCTGGCGATCGACCAGGCTAGCTGCAGGGTTGCTAGGTGCCTGATGTAGTCATTCTGTCATTGCTTGTTCAATCATTCTGTAATTCCAACTTTGCTAGTGAAAACTCTTGCCAATCTCTCCCGTGAATGTGCAAGCACTAAGGAACCAAGAAAAGCTAGGATCACCTCTAGTAGTTCGTGCCAACCCCCGTAGTCTAGCTCACTACCGTTGTAGAGTGTCTCTCCACAGCGCTCAGCAACCCCATTCTGCTGCGGAGAGGCCGGAAGCATGAACGTCTGCTCAATGCCCTCCTCCTAACAGAAGGCCCTCAAGAGGCCGGAGGAGAACTCACCACCTCTGTCAGAGTGCAGTCGCAGGACGGGAAGGTCCGTGCGAAAGCGCCTCTCCAGCTGGAGACGGGTAGCGCAGATCCAAGGGATCAAGACATCAGTGACCTCACCCTTGGTGCACAAGGGAAGACTGTGGTGTAACGCGTGTAGTCGTCAACTACCAGCAGGAAGTAGCGCTCTCCGCCCTGTCCACAGACGCGGGCTGGGCCCCACACGTCCATGTGAAGGTTCTGCAGAGGAGCCTCTGTCGGGGGGGACTCCGAGGAGTGAGGGACGGCGCGCTGCTGCCTTTCGACACAGGGAAGGCAGGGAGGGGCAAGGGACTGTGGCAGAGGAGGAAGTGACCTGGGGAGACCAGAGACAAGGCAACGGGAGTGCATGCTTCGAAGGCGCTGCATCGAAGGGCAACCAAGGCGGTGGTGCCAGAGGACCGTCCGGTGCGACAGGGTGCGACACGAGCAGGGGGCGGACAACTGACCTGACGCAGACGCGGACGCAGCTACCTGAGGGGACTTAGTGGTCAGTGTGTACAGGTCGGACCCCGGCTACCAAGTGAAGGTAGCCAGGTGACGACCCGTGTGAGCACACGTGCAGTGTGTGTCAAACATTATATATGTTGTGCTTGTTTAGGCTACAGTGGGTTAGCCTATATGGGGTACACATTTCTAGGGTTAGGTACTTGTACTGATTTCACTGTTAGTTCATCCATTCGTGTTCATTGATTTCAACATGGTATAGAGCAGGTCCTTCCTAGGACCGATTTTTTAGGGCCCACCACTACCTACCTACCTACCTACCTACCTTCGCCCTAGGGCGCCTCGGTTTTCACAGCCCCTAGAGGCCCCGAACGGCCCACGCGCTCGCCCCTAGCGGCCCCTTTCGGCCCCGCGATCGCCCCTAACGGCCCCATCGGCCCCTCGCTTACCTCCCTAGAGGCCCCGTCGGCCCCGCGCTCACCTCCCTAGAGGCCCCGAACGGCCCCGCGCTCGCCCCTAGAGGCCCCGAACGGCCCCGCGCTTGCCCCTAGAGGCCCCGATCGGCCCCGCGCTCGCCCTTAGCGGCCCCTTAAGGCCCCGCGCTCTTCCATAAAGGCCCCGATCGGCCCCGCGCTCGCCCTTAGCGGCCCCTAACGGCCCCGCGCTCGCCCCTAAAGGCCCCGATCGGCCTCGCGCTCGCCCCTAGAGGCCTCAAACGGCCCCGCCCAGAACGAGCCGCCCGACCCGAGCAGCCCGAACCGAGCCGCCTAGCCCGAACCGAGCCGCCCGAACCGAGCCGCCCAACCCAAACCGAGCCGCGCCGCCCGATCCTAGCCGCGCTGCCCTTACCGAGCCGCGCCGCACGTACTGGACCGAGCCGCCCTACCTGAGTCCCTACTACTGCTACTACTATTTTTTCTCCTACTACTGCTATTACTCCTGCTACTGCTATGGCTAGCCCTCCTGTGCTAGCTTTCGATGCTGAGGGCCGCCCAGTGAAGTTCGAAACCTGGCTAGATGACCTACACCTCTTCCTACAGCTCACTGCCAAGGAAGACATCTCACTGTACGATCACGCCCTAGGCCATGCTACTGCTCCTGCTGCTACTGCTGACAGCACTGCCCGCTCACAGTGGCAGACTCGTGATGCCCACGCTCGCTTCGCTATTCGCAACTCCCTGCCGATAGATGAGCGCGAGCACTTTGGGCAGCACAAGACTGCACAAGCACTGTACACTGTTGTTGTTGCCCGCTACTCCTCACCGGCCTCTGCCGCACTAGGCCGTCTCTCTCTTCCCTACTTGTTCCCCGACTAAGCCTCGTTCCACACAGTCGCTGACCTCATTACGCACCTCCGTAATAGTGAGGCTCGCTTCCGCGCCGCCATGCCTGATGAGTTCCTTGCCAAGAACCCACCCCTGCTCTGGCTCACTCTCTACCACCTGGTCACCCGCCTCCCTGACACGCTGCGCTCTGTGAGGGACCACTTTCTAGCTCGCTGCCCCACTGAGCTCACCATTGCCCTCCTCGAGAAGGAACTCCTTGCAGCTGAGGCTAGCATAGTCGCTGTAGGTGCCTCTCGTGGCGACCCCCGTACCCCGTTCTTTGAGGGGTGTTCTCCTTCCCCCCTTCTTCCCTCTGTCGCCTCTGCTGCTGCTGTCAACCTCCTTGGTGCTGAGAAGGTCAGGACTGCGTCTGCTTCGAGCGGGCGCCGCAGCGGCAAGGGCAAAGGGGGCGAGGGCGGTGGCAGTGACAGCGGGGGAGGCGGTGGTGGGGGAGGTGGTGGCGGTGGGGGTGGTGGCGCGACTGGAGGGGCTAGTGGCAGCGGTGGGGGTGGTGGCGGCAGCGGTGGGGGAGGTGGCAGGGGCGGAGGCGGTGGTGGGGGTGGCGGTGGACGCGGTGGCGGCAGGGGTTGGGGTGGTCAAGGAGGTGGCGGCGGCGGTGGTGGTCGTGGAGGCGCTGGCGGTGGCCAGGGTCAGCAGCACACTCCGTCGCCCTAGGAGGTCCGTGAGTGGTACTCTCAGCACGGGGGGGGGGGGGGGGGGGGGGGGGGTTGGCTTTAGCTGCACGTACGTCATTCGCACTGGTGACCGCACTGGCCAGCCGTGTGGGGGACCGCACGCCACAGAGCGCTGCTTCGCTCGTCTCAACGACGCTTGGCGTGTTCAGTTCCCTCAGGCCACTGAGCTGCCCCGCTGGGTTGATCTCCTGAAGAAGGGGATTGATATCTATGCTCTAGACTTTGATGCTATTCTCACTGTTATGTATGTGATGTCTACTAGTGGAGAGGGTGCTGAGTACCTGTGTGTCCCGCCCGGCCCAGGCATTAGGACTAGTGCGTCTGCCGCTCCAGGTACTCGCGTGTCTGCTACCCCTGGTGCTAATGAGGCAGCTGCTCAAGGTGCTTGTGCGTCTGCCCCCCCTGGTACTGAGTCGACGGCAGCACTGCACACCTTCACACTGGACTCAGGTGCTTCTCGCTGCTTCTTTCGTGACCGCGCTGCCCTTGAGCCACTTGCTCGGCCAGTAGCTGTCTCCCTCGCTGACCCCTCTGGGGGTCCGGTCATTGCGACCTCCTCCACTGTCCTTCCCAGTCCTGCGGTCCCGTCGGGCACACTGTCAGGTCTCCACCTCCCCTCATTCTCTACAAACTTGGTGGCAGGTTGTGCAGTCCAGGACGGGGGTGTTCACCAGTTCACCCGTGCCTATGAGCGTATGACACCCTTCACGTGTGCTCGTACGGGCCGCCACTTGGCTACCTTCACTCGGCAGCCAGGGTCGGACCTATACACACTGACCACTGGGTCCCCTCAGGTCGCTGCGTCTGCGTCTGCGTCCGCATCAGGTCAGCTGTCTGCCCCCTGCTCGTGTCGCTCTCTGGCGCACGAGACTGTCCTCTGGCACCACCGACTTGGCCACCCGTCTGTGCAGCGCCTTCGTGCCATGCACTCCCGGTACCTTGTCTCTGGTCTTCCCAGGGTCCTCCCTCCCCTCCCACCCTCGCCTGCTCCTCCCTGTCTTCCCTGTGTCGAGGGGCGGCAGCGCGCCGCTCCTCACTCCTCCTCGTTTCCCCCGATGACTGCTCCCTTGCAGACGCTC